AAGCTTCCCTATTGGAGAGTGCAACACATTCATGTTCATGAGTTATTTTGATCGTTTTTTATAGTAAAATTAAAAAATCATGCTATGGAAAAGAGTTTTTGGTATTACTTGGCAGTATGAAAATTGCAGCAATATTAGTAATCTTCTTTTACTTATATGCGATTTTAATGTTCAAACTTGAGTATGAAAATTGCAGCAATATTAGTAGTCTTGGATGAATGGTTTCCTAGTGATAAGAAAATGACTTATGGTTGCCAAAACTGCATAATGTTATAATCTCAGGGATTCAGTCTAATGCTTTTAATGAAACTGTGACTTGGTTTCTAGTGCTATTTCTGAATTTTTCTTACCGCATGACTGCTCTAACATGTTGTCCACAGACTAAACAGATGCACAAAATCTTAATAGAAGGAACTAAAGAAGTGTACCAAATTTAGCACACATAAATGGGTTCAAAACTTTTAAATCAAGAACAATGATTAGTACAGATGAAAAAATCTGTTTAACAAAACACACCAAGAAACCCGGCAAAGCAGTATACAAAATTACAAATTATACCAGTTTTAGAAACAAGGTATAAAGGGATTTTATAGCAGGAGAAGAAGAAAATGGGGTTTCATACCTCTACATGTGAGGAGTTGTATTCATAATTCATAATGCTATAATTGGAGACAGAGAAGATTAAATCAGAGTGGTTATAGTTGAGAACAATTAGGACATGAAAAATAACCTTTGGCTTGACATTTTACACATGCTATCTGCTTCACCTTTGATTCACTGTTATCAATTGTTTCAAACAAATCCTCAAGAGGTTTAATACCAAGCAAACCCCCTTCTCTAATAGACCCGGTTCCTTTGCAGGTGGAACAAGACAATCTCCTCAGGTTGCCACATCGCTTGCACATCCCCAATGAGCTGTAAGTAAAACATTGCAGTGTCAATAAAGAGAGGATATCAAAAAACAAAAAGCACCAATTTCTCACTGCAGGGTTTGTTTACAACATTTTCTCCTGATTTTTCTGCAGAATCTACTGCGTTATATTTATTCCTCAACACCGTTCAAAATCTAGCTATCGAAATTCACTTCATCATTCGTGCAATACAATTCAAAGGTTTGTGAAAGATTCAACACAATGGCACAGAATCAAATAACGAAGCAGTTCTTGAAAAAGAATCACACATATATAAATAGGGTTTGAGAGAGAAAACCTGCGTTGAGAAGAAGAGAAGAAGGCATCAACTTTGGTGGCAGCAACGGTGGCAGATAAGAGGAGAGCACCCACTGCCAAGCCAGCTATTTCACTTGCTGTGATGTTATCCATTTTCTTCCTTCTATCTTTAAATTTTCTATTCTCTTTAAATAATCACTTCAATTATTATTTGGTTACTTTTATTTTATTTGAAATTTTGTAAATGAATGGCCTATTAGCTCAGTTGGTTAGAGCGTCGTGCTAATAACGCGAAGGTCGCAGGTTCGAGACCTGCATGGGCCAATTTTACTTTTTTTTAATATGATTTTTTATTTTACGGATTTCAAGAATTTGGGTATTTTATGGGCTTATGGGAGCTTACAATAATAGAATTTGGGCCTTTTAATTTGGGTGTTTTATGGGCTTATGGGAGCTTACAATAATGCTTGCCATTTACTTCACTTGTTTTGAGTGCGAGAATATTCACTTACCATCTTACTTGTTTAATATATTTTTTTCTTTCATTTTAAAGTATTTTATTTTGCTTTTTCCAGAATATGGCTGAACTAATTATCTAAAAAAAAGAAAAATCTTTCCAAGTGGTGATATTTGATTCTTAATTGCTAAAGCTTTTTTGTTATTTAAACAAGTTATCTTATCTATACTAATATGAAAAATAAATTACATTATTTTTTGAAAGTTCTTTAAATAAAGTATTGGTGTATGTATAAAAATTAACAAAACTTAAGGTAAATAAATTACAATGATCTTGTTATGTTTTTTCAACTTAAAATATTTGTTCCAATCATAACTCTAATTAAATTAAATATAAATATAATTGAGTATATCTACACTTCAATGTGTAATGCAAAATGTTGAAGTTACTTTATAATAAGGTTTTTATTTTTACGGTAGGTTTTTACAAGACTAAACAAAACTACAACAAAACAAAATATATAATATATTTGTTATAAAGATGATTAATTTCTAACATACCTATATACAATGACTAACAAATTAGCTATGTAAGTAACATAGTTAAAAAATAAAAATATAACGAAAACCAATCCATCTTATTATGGAGTCAAGTGTACATGTCTTTGAGTTATTTGTATTTGTAAGCATTATTTAATATGTATATTTAGGTTGTCAAACTTCTAAACAAGTGGAGGCATAACAAATTCATATACTCCTAATTTTCCTACTTCCATATCAATTTTTCAATGTACCTAACAAAATAAAATTATTGTTTAAATGTAATTATTATAATGTCATGAAACATAAATGAAAGCATAATTTATAAAACCTAAGTTGTATGGATAAAATGTTTAATATGAAGCTTTCTCAATAATGTCTAATGTGTTAAGTGGAAAAAAAGTAAATAAGAAAAACAACAGTGTCACTCTAAAAACATTGTTGTCCCATTGTGCCGATAAGGGTTTCTTCCTCAACTTTGATTATGTCAAAAACTAACTTGTAGAATCATCTTGAACTTCTTCCATCTCATCATCATCATTATCAATTATATAATCTCAATACATATATTTACCATGATGAACAAATCTTTAACGAAAGTTAAAAGTTAGTTTAGCATTAATAAAATTATAAGAATAAAGGAAAACAAAAAGAAACATGACATAATACATTTGCACATACTAAGAGTTGCATGACCAAATGTCTTTTAGAAAACCAAAAATGTGTTTGCAATTTTTATGACCAATTAAACCTTTGGATTCGGCAAGACAACTCAACTAGAAACATCTCACACTTCATCAATCATTACCTATGTCTACTTTGGCTATATAAGGATGACCATGCAAACAGGCTCACAACCAATTATGAAAATGTGGGACGAGCTAAACATTTAAGTCCATCATCTAACACAGGCTTGTCTAGTAACCTAAACTATTTTTTTTTCATTATTGTGTAATATTATTTGTGTGTTGAATATGAATAAATTTTTCATTCATTATGTCATTGATATCATACATTTAAAAGTACAAATATATATTTTATTTCATGTCTCACTTTAATATTATTTTTTAGATTGCTTCCTTATTTACTTGTATAATAATAAAGTTTAGTCTTTAAGTTTTTATTTTTATAATTGTTATGCTTATAATAAATAATTATTTTTATAAGATTATCAACTTTCAAATTAATATATTACAAAAGAATTTTTAGATTTTTTTAAGGCAACAACGCAACTTTTTTTAAGGCTCACTCAAATAACTTCAAGATCCTTAAGTATGTTATTGACAACGTGCAAGGAACTCAAACTCTTACTTTAAAAAGTGTCAAATCTAATTTAGTTTTTTATAAGTTGTATCTCCATCTTTTACAAGACATTCTGCCTGTAAGACTTTACATTATTCCTTCATGATAGTGCCCTAAATTAATCACAAAAGCCCCAACCACTACCATAACCATCATGTACACATCTTAAGTGTTTTAATATTCGTATGACTGTCATTAATATATCATCACAACCATAAAGAATAAACGAGTCTCGAGTAATGTACTCGATTAAAGATCCTTGCATCATATTAATAATAAATGAATATATACCCCTAACTATTTCACATTCAAGTTATATGGAATTAAGAATCTTTTAAACATATTTATACTTATGATTTTATTAATCATATGTACAAAATTGAGAACTTATTTGTTATATTAATTTTATGCAAGTAAGTTTCTACATTTGATAGTATGGAAGTAGATATGCAAGAGACTCCTCGTACCATATGTTGATCCTACTTTAACCTCCAATAGTCATTGTATCAACAATGCATATCTCCACGGTGAGGCTATAAATGAGATGCATTACTCATTCTACCATTCTTGGTATATTTGAATGATATGCATATTATTTATAAGATAAATGAAATTTTTTTATGTTTATATATATTTTGAAATACGTTGGCATATAATAACAAAGGTTGGAGAATTAAGTTGTTGATCAAAATACATTGTACTAAGCTCTGCATGCTTAAGACAACCTAATCTTCAGAATAAACAAGGAATAATCTCTTTCCATCAATAATGTCAAACTTTGTTATTATAGTACATATATTTTTAACATTGTTTGTTTGGGTGCTAATCACCAAGTTCATTTAAAAATGAAGAATATATAATGATGTTATTCATTAAATTTGAACAAATATAAGAAAATAAAGTAGGGCTTAATTTTCATAAGTAACTTTGTTAAAACAGCGAAATGACAACCTTAAACAATACAAGTCCATTCTTCAACTTCATCCCTTACAAAAAATGAGTTCATATTTATCCCATAATATTTTTAATCCAAATCAGCAACGCATTATTTTATAAATATTTTTTAAATTAATGCTCCAACTAAATTAAATTTGATTTATCAACGTTGTCTAAAGCATCATGTCTATTTTTTTATTTCACGTTGTCTTTCAAGAAAATGGTCATTCAATTTAGGTGTTTTATGGGCCTACAAAAGACTATTATGTAACATGTTAACTGTATTATCAAATGGCCTATTAGCTCAGATGGTTAGAGCGTCGTGCTAATAACGCGAAGGTAGCAGGTTCGAGACCTGCATGGGCCAATTTTGTTTTAAAATAATCATTTACGTTGGTGTTTTACCTTCTTACTTGTTTAATATATTTTTTCTTTCATTTTAAAATATTTTCTTTGTTTTTCGCAGAATATGGCTGAACTAATTGTCTAAAAAAAAAAAATACTTTCCAAGTTGTGATATTTGATTCCTAATTGCTAAAGGTGTTTTTGTTATTTAAACAAGTTATCTTATCTATACTAATATGAGAAATAAACTACATGAACAGAATTTTTAGACCGTACCTGGATAAGTTTGTTGTGGTATTTATTGACGATATCCTTATTTATTCCAAGAGCGTTGACGAGCATGAAGACCACTTAAGGATCGTGTTGAGCGTGTTGAGGGAGAAAGAATTGTATGCCAAACGGTCAAAGTGTGAATTCTGGATGAAGGAGATCCAGTTTTTGGGACACGTTGTTTCTGCTGGTGGTATTTCAGTGGATCCAGCCAAGGTGAAAGCAGTGCTGGATTGGGAGAGTCCACGCTCGGTCACAGAAGTTAGAAGCTTCGTGGGGCTCGCGGGTTACTACAGGCGGTTCATTGAGGGATTCTCTAAGATAGTAGCCCCTTTGACTTATCTCACCAGGAAGGATCAGCCGTTCGCCTGGACTGATCGTTGTGAGGAGAGCTTCCAGGAATTGAAGAGAAAGTTAACGAGCGCTCCTGTATTGGTTATTCCAGACACGGCCAAACCTTTTGAAGTGTATTGTGATGCGTCGTATCAAGGTTTGGGCTGCGTGTTGATGCAGGAAAGGAAGGTAGTGGCGTACGCTTCTAGACAATTGAAAGTCCATGAGAAGAACTATCCCACACACGACTTGGAGCTGGCAGCAGTCGTGTTTGCATTAAAAATCTGGAGGCATTACCTGTATGGGGCAACATTTCAAGT